CTTTACAACCAATAATGCAAGCTTCTTCTCAATTTGCACATGATCCAAATCAATAGACACATGTCTCTTATTCTCAAATTCTAAAACAAATTGAAGAACTCAAACAGAGTTTTGAAGTTAAAGATTTTTATAATCCTAGTCTTAACTTAGAGACTAATGGATTACTTAATCATATTTGAAAATCCCGTCTCTTAGAAAACAAATCCACATTCAGAAAAAGGATAACCAAATTTGTTGAATTCCTAGTTAGCCAAACTAAAGAAAGACAACAATTTGATGAATTGGTTTTCAACAACCTCTGTTCCTCATATTTGCTAAAATAGCAAGATATTGAATTTTTTGCAATTGAAGAAAACCAATATTCTGTTCAAGAAACAAATAATTTCTTAGAACTTTATGATATTTCAATCATAAAAACTCTCCTCAGATAATAAAACTAAAAAGAGTTTTATTATTCGAAAAGGCTGCTATTCTACTACCAAAGGAAATATTTCAGCAAATCAACAAAAGTATTGTCTTGTAAACAAAAAAACTATTGCAAGAAAAATTTTCAGATTACTATTTTTCTCTCTATCTTGAAACTTCTGTTTTAGGAGAAAAACTTCCTAAAATAAAGTTTAAACTTGATCATGACACATTCGATGTAACAAGCATTGAAATGGGTTTTATTGGAGAAATAATCATCCAAAATTTTTCATTTCAACATATCACCAATTTTTCAGCCTTCATAAAATCTCAGTTTCATCGATACGTAAAAAATGATCAACTTTTCTTCTATATATATATATATATATATTAAAATCTATAGTTTGATAAGATTTTTCATTAGAGAAAAATTCTATCAACCATATCAAATCTGAGAAGTTGAAAAACTTGTTTCTGGCCCTTCTACTGAACAACTAGCAAAAGTAATTAAAAACCTTGACCAACTAAACCAAGCGATTCACAAGTATTCCAACTCTTCTCCATATTATTTCCAAACAGGAATTAACATGATGGAATACAACAAAAATATTCTCCAAAAAAATAATATGTTCTTCCTTCCCTAAATATTTTCTTCAAACCGATGGTAGAAGAATTTGGTCGCGAAAAGTCTATTTTAAGATAAAACTTTAGACAATTCCAATAGAACCAAAAGCAATTAATCTACTTAGAAGGCTTTTCGAAATAAAAGATATTGATCATTCTCAGTATCTCCTGTACCGATATCAAGAAAGGTGACAAATGTGAAATAAATCCAGGACAAATTCATCATAATCTTTCAATCTGAAAGATAAAGAAAGATTTAACCTGAATAACATACAAGAAGGATAAGCTATTCCAAGCTGGAATAAGCTCATAGTGTTTGCCCACAAGTCAAAATAGCTTAGGTCGGAGCCATAGACAGACAGTAGAGACAGTAGACAGATAACAATCAGCTATAGTTGGCAATAGTAAAAAGATAAATAATCAGCTACTGTTACAAACAGCTGCCACTGTAAAGACCTTAGTTAGTTACTATTGAGTCAGTTACTGTATATTGAAATTGTGTCTATAAATAGGCACACTATGCACTTATTAAGGTAAAGTCTTCTGGCAGCTTCTCTTACTACACTATTCTTCATCAATATAGAGTTTTTTACCTTTTTATCTTTTTCTTTTATCTTTTTGTATAAATGGTATCAGTATAAATCCAGAAGATTCTATATATATGTGTATATATATATATATATATATATATATTCGTATATATACAAAGGATCCTTGCGGACGCATAGTGGATCTGATACAAGACCAAGCATTTAGGCAGATGGGATTCTCAAACAATAATCTAAGAGGCAGAAAATGGAAGACTGGAAGACTGATAGGAGCAATTATCAGAAAAGGATATAACTATTCTGGTTGACAATGGTAATGATCCATATGGCCTCGACGACCATTGCTAATTACCAAGTACAAAGGATCCTTGTGGACAGCGGGAGCATAGTGGATCTGATACAAGACCAAGCATTCAGGCGGATGGGATTCTCAAACAATGATCTAAGGCCATCAAGCCCATTTTTGGTTTTGCTAACTAGCCCATTATCGTTAAATGATCATATTACCCTACCAGTCCTTATGGGAGATGGTGAGCTCACGCTCACAATGTTTGCCGATTTTTTGGTGGTGGACCAACCTTCAACGTATAATTTATTTTTGGCAGGTCACTAATGAAGAAAGCAAACATGGTTATTGCAGTATATTGTCTGAAAGTCCCCATGCCTACAGGAATGGGATTCATGAAGACTAATCAAGTCACAGCCCGCCAATGCCATTTGTTTAGCCTTCAATTAACATAAGAAGGGGACAAGACAGCAAATACACCACCCCCACCAATAGAAGAACCAGAAACACAGTCCAGCCCCCCACCCTGAGTACACCCAATCAATCCCACCAAACCCTCAGCATAGACAGGCAATACGTCCACGATGAATTCGGGGAATCCAAGGCTCGGCCTATCCAGCAAACAGTGCTAGTCCAGCTCTACCCCTAAAATCCAGAATTGGTTACCCAAACGGGTTCCTTGTTGGATCCTAAAACAAGAGGTATGTTACACAGGTTCTTGCAACGTAATCTAGATATGTTAGCTTGGTACGTTGCAAATATTGCAGGTATCGATGAATGTGTTATCGCTCATCATCCAAATGTAGACCCAGCTGCCAGCCTAGTGAAGTAAAAGAAAATGTGCTTCGCCATTGAGCCAATACAACCGTTTCTTTTGTTTGTTTTAAGCTAGAAAATGCTTGAAATCCTTCATATCGAGGGAGGCCAATCCGGCAACCAGATTGGTGCCTAGTTTTGGGAAGTGATCTGCGCCGAACACGGCATTGACTCAACTGGGAAGTACCATGGGGACTCGTATCTTTAACTTGAGAGGATCAATGTTTATTACAATGAAGCAAGTTGCGGAAGATATGTTCCCAGGGCTGTCCTCGTGGATCTTGAGCCTGGTACCATGGATAGCGTTAGGTCTGGTCCATATGGTTAGATTTTCCGACCTGAAAACTTTGTTTTCGGACAATCTGGTGATGGAAACAACTGGGCTAAAGGCCATTACATTGAGGGTGCTGAACTCATTGATTCTGTTCTTGATGTTGTCCGGAAAGAAGCCGTAAACTGAGACTGCTTGCAGGGTAAGTTTTTTCTTTTCTTTTTCTTTCCCTCTCTGTTTTCGTAATGCTTATGTTGGTATATTTTTGAACAACAGGGTTTCAGGTTTGCCATTCGCTAGGAGGAGGAACAGGATCTGCTATGGGTACCCTTTTGATTTCGAAGATCAGAGAGGAATACCCAGACAGGATGGTGCTTACTTTCTCTGTTTTCCATCTCCAAAGGTCTCAGATAGCGTGGTTGAGCCGTACAATGCTACTTTATCAGTACATAACTTGTTGAAAATGCAGATGAGTGTAATGTTCTTGACAATGGAGCTCTCTACGACATTTGCTTTCGAACCCTCAAGCTCACCATTCCAAGCTGTAAGAACATCTTTCACTTTACCTTTCTAGGTTTTATGTAATCTTTTATTTGGATTTAAACTAATTAGTTGGGTTTTTATTTGCGCAGTTGGAGATTTGAGCCATTTGATACCTGCTACTATATTGGAGTCACATGTTGTTTGAGATTTCCTAGTCAGCTGAACTCTGATCTTAGGAAGCTCGCTGTGAATCTCATTCATTTCCCTAGACTTCACTTCTTCATGGTTGGTTTCGCGCTTCTTACCTCTCGTGGATCACAGCAGTACAGGGCCTTAACCGTGCCTCAGCTCACTCAGCAAATGTGGGATGCCAAGAACATGATGTGTGCAGCTGATTCGCCCGATGGAAGGTACCTTACAGCCTTAGCTATGTTCAGAGGCAAAATGAGCACAAAGGAAGTTGATGAGCAGATGCCCAATGTCCAGAGCAAGAATTCATCCTACTTTGTGGAATGGATTCCAAACAATGTCAAATCAACCGTCTGTGATATCCTCCAACTGGCTTGAAAATGGCATCCACATTCATTGGGAACTCGACTTCAATTCGGGAAATGTTTAGGCGTGTTAGCGAACAGTTCACAGCTATGTTTAGGAGAAAGGCTTTCTTGCATTGGTACACAGGTGAAGGTATGGATGAAATGGAATTCACCGAGGCAGAAAGCAGCATAAACGATCTGGTCTCAATATCAGCAGTACCGGGATGCAACTGCTGATGATGAGGAAGACTACGAGGATGAAGAGGAGTACCAATAATGATTCAATTCTATGATGCTATTAGCGGATGTAAAACGATACTGAAAAAGTACAAATTGCCAGTCTCTGGCAACAGAAAGTATTAATCTGGATATCTGTATGCCAACATGATTGTTAAATATGATAATTCAGTTCTGTTCTTCCTATCTTCGAACTTGAAGTGCTATATGGTTAAAATTCCAGCATATTTGTCATTGTTGCAACACCATAATATAATCCCATAAACTATATATTATCTTTATTCATACTAATTATCATAACCAAGGATAAACAATTGAAGATGATTGTTGGCACAGACTTCGACAGAAGTTCGATTAACAATTAGAGCATCAAAGGAATGTCTCGATTCTCTAATTACTCACATTCCTCAGCATTTTAGTGTTTTGACAGCTCATATCTACCCATATATGATTGATGTTTTGGCATGTATCTAGGTCAAGAAAATACGCTGCTGGATTCCTGCTCCATCAATTTACTTGATACATAAGAATCTATGAGGATAAAAAAACTGTGCAAGCAAAAATGTCATTGGAAGAAAAGTTACGGTCTATCATAAAATGTGCTCAAACGGTGATCCATCTTTAAGGCTTGTAAATTGACAGCTAATATCTATTAGTACAAAAATGCCAAAAATCTTCCCAGTTCCACTAGGAACACCAAGTCCCAGCATAAAACCAAAGGCAGCAAGGAGACCTAAACTACAAGATGGCACCTAGTGAAGCTGTTCATGCTTTAATGTCCCTAAATGAGGTCACAAAAATAGATTTCTTAGACAAAGAACTTGCTCAGGAATTTATCCATTTGTAATTGAGGTTACACAATTAGCAAAGCACTTTAAGATATGCATGAACTCGATGCATTCATCATTTAACAATACAAAACAAAGTGCATAAAACCTAAGATAGCCTACTACACTGAGCATGATAGCCTAAACCACGATATAGACATACAGTGTGCCCCCTGCAAAGACATTAATTCATGCATTATCCTTAAATTAAGTCACAGTTACAGATTTCTTATGCAAAGAACTTCCTCAGGAATTATGCATTTACAATCAAGGTTATGACAAGCAACACTGCAATTCTTATTGAAGTTAAATCTCAATGCTTCCATCATTAAACACTATGTAACAAAGAGCTACATTTTTCACAATTGGTAATCAGCTACAAGCACACCCAAAACCTGCAACTACAATGACAAAAAGATCATCAATTTACAACATAAAACATCCCTCAGAACCCCAACTCTAACATCTACTTCATGCCATCTTTGGCAGCATTGTCTACCACTACTTTGACCTTCTTGTAATCAAAATCCACAGGGTGCACACCACACTCTTCGGGTGCTACTGGGCTCCTATCACCAAGGATGGTCCATAGGTATAGCAGGCAAGAAGCTGTTAAGGCTCCACATGCACCACCGAAGATGAATACGACAAGCACTTTCCAAAAACAACTGCTACTCTTGTGCGCTGTAGTTAGAGGTTTGGGGTTTGCAATAGCCTCAGGATCAAGTGGTTGAGAATGCATCCAATTTGGAACCGGCCTCAGCTTAAAACTCCACGAGTGAATAAAGCATGTCTGTGAAGAATTCCTACTTGAAGAGCTTAAGCCCACAAGCACTTCCTCCTCATTCCATAGTTTTGACAAGTCGATTGAGTGTGAAAGCAATGGATCATCAGGCCTGGTACTACTAGATTGACTTAACCTAATCTCTAGTCTCTTTGAACTTGCCTCGTAATCAATCCAAGAATGCAATTTTTCCCCATTATTTAATACCAGATTGACAGATGATAAATTTCTCACTTTAACTGATGCAAGACTACCCACATCAATGCCCACATGGTTTTCATTCAAATCACCATACTTGGCATCATTGAAGGTATCAAATTCTACGGCAACAACACCATTTTTAATTTTCTCCAGTCCAAGAGAAATTCCAAACGAACTATTTCCCAATAAATTAACATTAAAACTACTAGGAACCATAACAAAAGCCAAACCATCACCATTTTCATGGGACATTGAGAAGGAAAAGTAAGTTGAAAAAGAAGCAAAATTCCTGACTTTACCTTCAACAAGCTTGATGGGTTTCTTATACATAACTTTCCCCGCACTCCAACTCACTGAGTTAGTAAGTTGAATCCAAGAGCCATCATTAGCAACATGTGCATCGCCATATAAAGCAATATTGGACTCAAAGTTTGGATCTTTACTTTTGAAGGAAAAAGAGGAGCTTTGGTCTGCAGCTAAAATTTTGAAATGGAAAATGATAAAGGCAAGGGCTGTGAAGCAGTTGGAAATGGAGAATGTGGCCATTGCTGAAGTGGGTTAGAGCTGAATCGGATCCCTTTTTTGTGTTGTTGCTCTACTAAGATTTGGTGGGTGATGATTCCATTTACAATCTTCCTTTATTTTTTTAGGGTTCTGGCATCCGAGTTGGGTTGGCTTGGCTTGGAGGTTGTGAAAATTAAATACGTTTACTCGTTTCTGCAAACTCTTTTTTTTTTCACTTTCTCTCAGTGGTTGCGGACTGAGGGAATATTATAATGGACATTTTTCAGTTTTGCACTTGTACTTTTTCTAAATTCTGAAATGTACTCTATATTTTGTGTATTTACATTTCTATCCATAAAATTCATAGATTGTTTAATTTGATTCATCAATTAAAGCCACACAGTGGGAATTTTTCTATACTTCTTGCTCTAAACTCCAACCCCAAGGGCTCAATTTAAGCTTAAAAAATAAGTACTACTAAAATTTCAATTGGTATAAGTACAAATATGTGAAACAAATTTGGGTACTTGCAAATTATTGGATTGAAGAGTTACAGTTGTCAAAGCAAACTTGTTTGTTAGCCACAACAAAAAGGAGGTTAAGAAGTGAAAAGAATGATAGGATATGTCTTACGTAAATGTACTCTCAAGTCTAGACAATGCTCTAAGCTTTTGCAACAAAAATTAAAAAGGAAGAAAAACACAGCTGTAGAGTACAGGAAGAGGGTGACTCGTCTCTATCAATTCTAAGCAAAATCCCCACTACCTCTCCCCTTTTCAATTTCCTTTTTGTTTTATAAGAAAAAAAGGAGTTATATGTGGGGAGCAAAAACTAAAATAAAAAGGTAAAAAGAATGGATTCTCTTCATTGAAGAGAGGGACCATTTCTAACATGCGCAACGTCGGGCGTTGATAAATCCCCCCAAGGTTGTTGTGCAACGTGCCTGCCTGCCCACTTTCTAGCCAAGCTCTTTCCAAGTAAAAACTAATGCAAGCATGCTCTAGCTCTTATTTTGTTGGTAAGACCAACGGCTAGGTCTTCATACAATACTAGTACAATCCGGAATACCTTGTTTCTGTTGCCAACAATCCCTTTGATAGATAATATGTATCTTTAATATAAATTTTTCTAAAGTTCATTATCTATCTTTATTTAAAAAGCATCTCCTCACCTTAAACCTTTAATTAAAAAACCCTGAACTTTTAACTATAAAAAAATGCTGGTAGAATATTTTAGTTTGAAACAGAGTAATAGAAGGAAACTTGAAGTCTAAGAAATTGACCCTTGTCTATAGCAAAAGGTATGGGCGATTGTGGAGAGACCATGTCCTCACGTCTCAGGCATTCCCAACAGCATTCAATTCTTTTATAGGATTGTCACTTTGTCAGCAAGGATTGTTGATTTTAAATGTAGTCGGTTGCTGCATTAAAGACCTTTCATCAATGACTGATTTTTATATTTACTGTAGGATGGTAAGATTCTTGTGCCTGGAAGAGAAGAATCTGCAGATTTTTGGTGGGTCACACCCTGCGACCGTCAGGTGTAGTTAAATCTGAGTGCTGAGAAATTTAAGACAATAACCTTTGCATTGATGAAGCTTTTAAATTTATTCTATTGCAGTAGCAGGTAGAATTGACCAACTGTAAAATTTAAAAACTTTTAACCTAAAAGATGTTTGATTCAAAATTTAATGATGAAAGGATGAAAATAATATAAGTTCTATCCACATTATTTACAAAAATAATTGAAATGAACAACGCTCTGGGAAAGGGGACAAAGCCCATGCCATATACTGAAGGTTTCAAAGACTGTTGTCAAGTGTCATACGAGCTTTGGGCGAAAGCCTACTCTTCATGCACAAGGGGACAAAGATTAGAACCGTAAGCTGGCACTTATTTGTGCATTAATTTCGAAGCATGGGAGGGGACCACTGGCTTTTGAGGTGTGAAGCTTGGGACCACTGGCTTTTGGCCTATTAAGATTGATTTTCAACACTACCGGGTTTGGTTGCTTTTCCTGAGGTCTTTACTCTTGTTTCTGAGGTTAGCAATAGATAAAAAAAATCAACAAATGCATCCAAACACCAAAAGCATAGGAAGGTGGCTTGTATTTTTCTTGGCAACATCTATTTCCTAGATTAAGCAAAAATGATTATTATCCGAGTTAGGGTGTTATCAAATTAAATATAAAAAAATTTTGTTATATTTATATCTTATTTATTTAATTAATAAAACCTAAAATATTATTCATAATTATTTATTAATCTTAATAAACGAACATATATCAAATTAAATTACGAACTGTTGGTTGTACACTCTTTTCATTTACACTTTCACATTATTAACAAATTAAATATAAATAAATTTTATTATATTTATCACTTATTCATTTAATTAATGAATAAAAATCAAACTTGTTTACGAAATGTTTCTGTTAATCTATTAAGCTTATACGTGAGTCTCATCGAAGAGAGCTGATCACATTATCAATTAAAAGAGTGACAACGCAACATGTAAATAACTTGTCCAAGAAAGAGCGAGGTTGTAGACCATCTGCTAGGAGGATAGTGGTTGAAGTGGACCTTGGCCCTTGATAATGTTCTGGCAATCAACCAGAGAGAGGGACAAAGAAGAAGCCGAAAGGAGATAGCAACCCAACAGTAAAAGAAAATAAAGATGGGCGTCGGTTGGGATACCAATTACATTGTAAATGGTAGCATGGTTTTTCTACCTAGATCAGGAACATATTATATTGAAGAAGATGGCACATTTAATTGGCCGAAGCCTCTTCATTTCTAAGAAATGGGGCATGGGTGGACCACCGTTAAGCCAATAAAGACCATGTAGCCTAAACTTCCAAACCTCAAAGTTGATAAAAGCATGACCTGGACCATGTAATCTTAACGGTAGTTTAACATTGCTTTTGTGGTTGAAAAAAAATATAGATTTGAATAAATACATTTGAAAAATATGATAAAAAATTGATTAAAATTTTTAAGTAGTTAATTTTACCAAGAAAAATTACTGTAAGTAATTGAAATGTTTAAAAATATATACATAAAATAATAAAATATAAAAAATATAAGATAATATAATAATTTTCTATCCAAAAAGTACTTTTTTACCGGAAAAGTACCTCTTCAGCAGCTTTTACCAAACTTGTAAACTGAGAAACCATTTTTCTTTTTTTTCTTTTTTTTTTTGTTGTTGTTTAGCATTAATGTTGGGTCAAAAGCGGTTTTTGACGACAAAATCTATTTTCAACAGCAATGCTAGCTATATCCGCTCTTTCGAGAATATTGTTAAAAGCCATCTTTTTAGTCTCCACGGCCTTAAAGTAGCACTTAAAAGTAATTTGAAGATTTGTATTAACATGCCCCACTATGTCAGTAGCATGATATTAACAAGTATAAAGTTGTCCTCCCTCCTCAGTAGCAAAGCCAATGCTGGAGTTAGGCTTTCACAGCTGGATTCCATTAAAACTTTCCTTCATTTTCTAAGGATCAGAGAATAGTCAGTTAAGATATAATGTATAAATTAAATATATAGCATCAATTTTAAGAAACTAAGAGAGAGAATAAAGCTAAAACTTAAAACCATTAGGACATAGGGTAATGATTTTCTTAATAAACATTAGACTACAAATTAAATAATTTGATGCAGGTATCATCAATGTGCCTTTGGTTTAACCAAGCTTCAATACTACGGAGCACCTAAACGTCAATCAAACAGCTCCTCGAGTTATCGGCTTTACACACTGCCTGAAATTTTGAAATACTATTTGCTTTTAAAAGCAAGTTCCCATTAGCCTCCTAAAAAATAAAAGAGAGAGAGATTGAGAGAGAAAAGAAGAAGAAGCAAGTTCCCGTTAACAATTCAGTGCCATGGCTACCGAACAGGAGGGAAGGAAGGGGAGGGACAGTTATGGTGTAGGGAAGAGCCAGCCTTGGTCAATAGCTCAAGACCCAATCAAAACAAAACAAAAAAAAAATGTTATCACTCCCCTCAACCACATAGTAAGCCTCGGGCTTTAATGGAAAAAAGGAAGGGTAAAAACGAAGTATGAATTTTCTGACTTTAACAAAGAGCATCAGATGTTGTTCCCGCTATTATTCAATTGGATTACAAAGATGGCAATCAATTAACTCCACGCGAACTGTCAAATCCAACTTCCAAACATGCCTGCCCATTAAACCTTCACTACTTAACTGGCATATCCAAAATTAGGATACCATATCATCAGAGGAAATATGATTAACGGGACAACTCAAGAATGTGAACCACTTTTATGAAAATTTACAAGTGAAGATGGCCAGGCATCAACCCTGGCAAATCAACTATCAGCAAGGAAATAACATAGGAAGAGCATCACCACACACGCAAATGCAAGTGTCACGGACTTAAAGAAAAATCCTGAATCTCACATCGAACATAATATGAGTCACTGAAGTATAAAAAGGTTCACACCATCTCTTTCTTGTAATGCACCTTTTGTAAGATAAAATCGTGAGATCAGAGTGGATAATACCTCATAAGGTTGTGAACCATGACAGGTAGGCTGATCTGAGACACCGGATGAGTGAATGCCCAAGTCTTGGAGCCGCACAGGTCAAAGCTTAAGTCTCGACACGTGACAAGTGATATCAGCGCCAAACACCTTGAAAGAGGTAGACAAGGTGACCAACTTCCGTGACTAGAACGTCACGAGGTTGGGTGAGAAAGAATGTCACGAATCTAAGAAGACGTCCTAAATCTCACATCGAACATAATAGGATGGTCAAGTGGTATATCATCAATTCCTAATGAAATGGATGTAGCAGTGGCTTGCTGGAAACCCAGAGTTTTTACTTGATCCAGGATGTGTGATGTATATGCCATTCCGAAGCGATCTATTAATCTGCTAATAACCCGTTCTGCCATAAGTACCCCCTTATTCCGCTGAGTGGACTTCGACAATGGGTTTGAGTCAATGATTGGAAAATTTCTTTTTCTCGATATTAATTTTCGTAGAAAGTCGCGTCAGGAACTATGGTACTAGTTGAACCGGAGAGACACGAATTGATACCGGTGTCATAGAACATAGAATTTTTGAGCTTAGATACCATATGATTGGGTATCATATGAGCAGGTCCGAAAAAACCCTTGTATAGCTTCTTCGATTTCTCGGTAAAGAGAAATATGACCAACAGTGGTTCGAATGTATATACAAAGAATTTTTTTTTTTACACTTTTTACTATTAGATAATGTCCATAAATCTCATGATATGTACCCAAAGATTCATAGTGAACTTCGATGGGAGCTTCTCTTGAAGCAATAACGCATTGATCTAGTCACAATATTTGGTGAGAGAGAATGTCACGGCCTAAGGAAGAGTCCTAAATCTCACATCAAACATAATAGGAGGGTCAAGTGGTATTAGAGTCAGCCCTAAACCGTTTGATCCATGCCAAACACCTCGAGGGAGGTAAACAAGGTGACCAACCTTCGTGACTAGAACGTCACGAGGTTGGGTAAGGGAGAATGTCACTGACCTAAAGAAGAGTCTTAAATCTCACATCGAACATAATAGGAGGGTCACTGGAGTATAAAATGATTCACACCATCTCTTTCTTGTGAGGCACCTTTTGTAGAACAAAATCGTGAGGCCAAAGGAACCAGAGTGGAAAAGTAGACTGATCTAAGACGTCGAATGAGTGGATGCCCGACTCCTGAAACCGTACGGATCGAAGTTTAAGTCTCGACACGTGATAAGGTACATCATCATACACTTCTGTTTCAGTAATACTAAGCACATTTCCAGCAATTCTCCTGTTCTTTTGTTTCTCTCTAACTTGCGCATACGCTAGTGTTTTAAGCTGACTTAGCCTAGAAGGAGGTGATTCTAAGCTTGAGGCAGCACAGATTCTGAGTCTAAAGTCGAAGCTTGTGACAGTTGATATCAGAGCCAACCCTAAACCGTTCAATCCACATCAAGCAACTCGAAGAGCCTAAGGCGACATGGATTCTGAGTCTAAGGTCGAAACCCGTGACAATTGGTATCAGAGCTAGCCCTAAATCGTTCAATCCACGCCAAGCACCTCGAGAAAAGTAGACAAGGTGACCAACCTCCGTGATTAGAACGTCACGAGATTGGGTAAGGGAGAATGTCACTGACCTAAGAAGGAGTCCTAAATCTCACATCGAACATAATAGAAGGGTCATTGAAGTATAAAAAGATTCACACCATCTCTTCCTTGTGAGGCACCTTTTGTAGAACAAAACCGTGAGGCCAGAGGAACCAGAGTGAAAAAATAGGCTGATCTAAGACGTCGGATGAATGGATGTCCGGGTCCTAGAGTCGCACGGGTCGAAGTTTAAGTCTCGACACGTGACAAGGTACATCATCATACACTTCTATTTCAGTAATACTAAGCACATTTCCAACAATTCTTCTGTTCTTCTGTTTCTTTCTAACTTGCGCACACGCTAGTGTTTTAAGCTGACTTAGCCTAGAAGGAGGTGATTCTAAGCCTAAGGCGGCACGAATTCTGGCGGCACGGATTCTGAGTTTAAGGTCAAAGCTTGTGACAGTTGATATAAGAGCCAATCCTAAACCGTTCAATCCACGCCAAGCAACTCGAGGAGCCTAAGACAGCATGAATTCTGAATCTAAGGTCGGAACACGTGACAGTTGATATCAGAGCCAGCCCTAAACCGTTCAATCCACGTCAAGCACCTCGAGGGAAGTAGACAAGGTGACCAACTTCCGTGACTAGAACGTCACGAGGTTGGGTAAGGAAGAATGTCACTGACCTAAGGAGGAGTCTTAAATCTCACATCGAACATAATAAGAGGGTCACTGGAGTATAAAAAGATTCACATCATCTCTTCCTTGTGAGGCACCTTTTGTAGAACAAAACCGTGAGGCCAGGAGAATCAGAGTGAAAAGGTAGGCTGATCTAAGACACCGGATGAGTGGATGCCCGGGTCCTAGAGTCGCACGGGTCGAAATTTAAATCTCGACACGTGACAAGGTACATCATCATACACTTCTGTTTCAGTAATACTAAGCACATTTTCAACAATTCTCTTGTTCTTCTGTTTCTCTCTAACTTGCGCACACGCTAGTGTTTTAAGTTGACTTAGCCTAGAAGGAGGTGATTCTAAGCCTAAGGCAGCACGGATTCTGAGTCTAAGGTCGAAGCTTGTGACAGTTGATATCAGAGCCAACCCTAAACCGTTCAATCCACGTCAAGCACCTCGAGGATTCTATGTCTAAGGTCGAAGTTTGTGACAGTTGATATCAGAGCCAACCCTAAACCGTTCAATCCACGTCAAGCACCTCGAGGAGCCTAAGGCGGTATGGATTCTGAGTCTAAGGTCGGAACCCGTGACAGTTGGTATCAAAACCAGCCCTAAACCGTTCAATCCACACCAAGCATCTCGAGGGAGGTCGGCAGGGTAGCTAGCCTCCATGACTAGAGCGTCACGAGGTTAGGTCAGAACCCGTGACAGTTGGTATCAAAACCAACCCTAAACCGTTCAATCCACGCCAAGCATCTCGAGGGAGGTCGGCAAGGTAGCTAGCCTCCATGACTAGAGCGTCACGAGATTAGGTGGAGGAGAATGTCACGGACCTAAAGAGGAGTCATGAATCTCACATCGAACATAATAAGAGGGTCACTAAGGTATAAAAAAGTTCACACCATCTCTTCCTTGTAAGACGCTTTTTGTAAGACAAAACCGTGAGGCCAAGGGGGTCACAAGAGTGTGAACCGTGACAAATAGGCGAATCTGGGACACCGTATGAGTGGATGCCCGGGTCTTGAAACCGCAAAAGTCGAAGCTTAAGTCTCAACACGTGACATGAGCACTCGTAATTCTATATAGTTCAGATAGGGGTTAACATCATGAATCACAAGTTTTACCCAGGTGCCTCTTCTATTGTATTACCTATAAAGGGTTTGGTAGAGTTGCAATGTATAAACTTGTAAAGCATATTCATATAGGGAAAAATGTTCTTCAAATTACTTGGTTAATCATGATTGTGCCCTGTGTACACAAAAAATGTATACATCCTGGAGGGTGAATGTGAATGTATACAAATTCAAAAAATTTTCTATTACCTGATGGTAAGGTACAATTGACACAGCAAGCAACTAAGAGAATGATCTATGAAAGCTTACAAGCAATGATGAGTGTATGTTATGACTTCTATGCCACAATCTACACAATGCAGAATAAAAGCTACCGACAGAATGGATAGCAAAATGTCATGAGCTATGAGCTCAATGGACTTACCCTTTAACCGTAATGATTATCAGGAAAGCACATTCATATCACTTTGTTTCCAGTGCGATATCCTTGACATCTAGCTCTACCAGGCTTTCTTTCCCAAATAGTGTAAATCCCACGGTTGCCTGAAAGAAAACATGCTTTCATTCCAAAAAGCCATTCTAACTTGATAGATAAATACACAAGCATACACAAAAAGGACATTTAGATTATTTAAGGCTATAAATTGATGTCCAGATTTTTTCAAACAGCAGACAAGCACATTAGCCAATGTATGACTTAGTAACTTTACTTGTTCACGCATATGAATGTCATACCTTTCCAGTTTTGCGGTTCAATTTCTTGAGGCTGCCTACAAATTCTGCAAAAGTCCCAGACACAACTCGAACAATTGAACCTGGGACAAGTTGCTTGGAGTCCTTTGCCCCCTTTACTACAGTATTAGAACTCTTTCTAGATTGTTGTTTTGGCTCATAATCCAAAACAGAGGCTGTAACACCATTGGAATCTAAATTATATTCTATATTCAGCTTATCCGGAATGAGGGCTATTTCTCCTTGCTGTTTTTCCTCAAATGCTTGATCAGCGTTTTCTTGTTCTTCTTTGGCCTGTCTGAAGATTGCTTCCATGTCATCAACAGACACTGGCCTAGGTTTGTTTATTTGTCTTTTTCTGAAAACCATGTACAAACGCTTAATACTAACTGAAAAGCAGAGTAATCAATAAAATGCTAAGAATTTAGGGTTATTTTTGTAAAAAATGTTTATTAGAAATTCAGACCTCCAACCAAATGCCCCTGAGTTTTCTTTATTCAGGTCTTAGTCCACTGTCTTTATATATAGTTTAAATACCTTTGAAATCTTTACATGCCTCTCAACAAGCCACATAAGAGTCATGAAACCAACGATTTCAATTAGATTGAGGTAATTTGAATTACAAAAACCATATGGTTAAACCACCTTTCTAAAATTTCTTCAGAAATCCTATATGTTTATTTAAACTCAAACACAAGTACATAATGAGATTTTACCATCCTCATATTATGCAACAGTACGTAACAATCAATTTATCATTGTGAACAAATGGTTGTAGAGACTTATAGCAATTTTCAACAAGGACAAAAAGTAACACTCACGTATTTCCGACCTTGGAACCAAGAAAACCTCCAACTCCATCGCACTCTCTTATGAAGTCATGAATCTCTTTGTTCAGTACACATCTTAAGAAAACACACCCGGGAAATAAGGGTTTCGGTTTAATTGATATCGAACCATTTTTTAACCTCTTCTTCTCCTGAACAGCTGGAGTATACATCTGAAGACAAAAAAAAAAAGTAACCAACATATATATGTCATACATATATCAATTTCTTAACCCTTACTACTTTAATATCTTGGTAAAACAATAATGCCTAAAATTTATTAGGAAATTCTTCATTTGTACATAAAAAGAAGTTTAAAGGGGGACCTTGCTTTCGAAAATTGGATCCCAAGGCTCCTACTGCAAAGGGTAACAATGGCTAGAAAAGTATCCAAGCCTATAATATTGTATCTTAGCCTCTTAGCACCATTTAGCACAAACAAACGTTTAAGATGAATAATTAACGTTGGTCTCTCGATTTTGTTACAGTAAAATCCTCCAATGAATCCCATATATAAAATATAAATACTACAAACAAACAAAACAACGTATTTTGGGTTTTAGCAATTCAGAAATAAAATGGCAACGAACTAAAATCCATTTGTTTACCTTAAATTCGATGTCAGGGAAGTTCCTAGCGAGTGAACGAGCCATGACGTCGGCAGTCTCGAGACCTCTAACCCGGGAAACTCGAACCACCCACCATTGAGGACCCAAGTGAGCCAAGCTATCAAGATTAAGTTCCTCAGTCCAAGAAGCGTATCTCTTCTTGGGTTTTTTTAGGAGCTTTTCTTCAACTTCTTCTCTCCAACTATAACCTGATTTGCTCTCTCTTCTTCGGTTTCTTAGCTGCCTTCTCTCCCTCGCTGATAGCTGCTGCTGTTGAACTTGGGTGTCACTTGAATCAAGAGAGGCAGATATTGGTGGCAGTAGCGGGACGTGTTTGGTAGTTGGAATTTTGAGGGAAAGTGAGTGGAAAGATAGTGGAGAGAGATAGCCAGGACTCCATAGAAGAAGCCCCGGCTTCATTTTTTTGATGATTTCTACGAGCCAGAGATAAAATGGACGTCGGTCTTCTTTTGGATAGCGTTGGAGCAGACGTTGTTGTTATGGGCTGTTTTTATAGGCTTTGCCTTGGTCCGACTTGGCCCAATTCCTTTTATCCTTTTTATTTTTTTAGGACAAACTTCTGTTTTTTTAAGTAATCTAATCCTATTTTAGATACAAAATATGAAATATCTTACACGACATCATATATCACTTTAGTTCAAAACCATAAATTCTTAAAATATTTATAATTTTTTATATGCAAGTATCGATCTATATCATTTCACAGTTTAATAAGAAAGATTCCCATTGTATAATGGTATTATTTTATAATTAAATTGATAATGATTTAGTTCTAAAATATAATTGTAACGCTACAAAAATCTCTCATCACATTATTTTTATTATACTATAAAATCACGTTATTCTAACTTTACTCTCAAATGAATCCTTATTCCTTACCTATTAATATCATCAATAGTATGTAACATTTTTAAGAGGAGGGACTAATTATTTTTTAGAAGGAAGATATTTGTATTTTTTTTCTTTTTTTTTTTTGTTTCTTTTTTAAGTTGACTTTTGTGGGATGAAGTCAAAAAGGGCTAACAACAAAATTGTCAAAATGTTTGTTTAGTAGAAGCCATTTGTTTTAATTTTAATTATTAATGATATTGAGTTGAAGTAAAAAACACTTTTATAAGTTCATTTTCTTGTACATCACTTTTATAAATGGGTGGTTGCCTTTAAGGATAACTGTTAATTTAGTAAGTTTCTCAAAATACATCATGGTTCTTTTAGTATGAAGAAAAAAATAGACTCTCAAATGTAAACTAAATTACTTAATAGTATTATTTATTATTTATCATTAAAGGGGTACAAAGGAATGAAAATAAACCTTTGCACTACTATATGCATTCAAATGTTCTTGATTAATCCATTAATCAATTTCTTAGATATATTGTCAATTATTTTAATAAATAATAGCAAAGACATATTGACACATTGTCTAAATTCTTATTATCGTCACAATACGTATTAACATAGTGTTAAACATCTTTTTTAAAGTTTTCAAAAGTAAATTTTAATATTTTTTTAATAAATATTCAATCATGTTACTGTTGTCACAATGGCTTGACTTAGTTAATAAATTTATTCATTTAAATGTAAATGTATTGGATTCGAACAAATTTTATAGTACCTATTAGGTCAAATTATGTAAGATATCTATATTTTAGTTAAACGGTGAAATTAGTTATTTTGTTTTAATATGTTTAAATTGAATCCCTATACTTTATTTAATTATAGATTTTAATCAAATTGTTAATAATTCAAATTTTTTTCGTTAAAATTTGATAATATGGTTTTTTGACTTTTCTCACTTGGCATTTTTTATTTATGTAGTTGTTGATTTTGCTGATGTGTAAAGTTTACGTGATAAAAAATGATGATATGGCAAAAATCTTTTAAACGTTATCATTTTTTTACACCAATTTTTTTCAAAATTGTACAACTCATCCATATATTTTAGTTAAATAGTAAAATTAGTTATTCTATCTTAATATGTGTTCAAATTTTATCTTTATACATCAATTAATTATTGAATTTAATATTTGATCTAAAATAAGTAAAATAAAATTAAAATAAAAGACAAAAAATTTTTTTAATACAAATAAGTTCAGTAGTAAACAAAGTCAAACTATGGATCAACATGAAAGATGCACCAAACCCATCTTTTCAAAGATATCATTTCAACTTGTTATAAAAATTATAAAAAAAAACATTTTTTTAAAATTTTTTTCTCCTCTCTCATCCTTGTTTTTCTCTTATTTCTCTTTACAAATCTCATTCAATGAACTCATATTTTAAGGAGATTTTTAGAAATCAATGATTAAAAAAATTCAACTATCATAGAAAAAATTTATCTAAAAAATCCAAAAACTATTAATACCCATAAATCAATCATCAACACCATCATTTTGTATCATTATCTAAAGCAAAATTGAGCGTAATGCCTTAAAAATTCTAAACCTGAAACCTTTAAAAAAAAATTTTTAATAAAAAATTATTTCTAATTATTTTTGTTGGTTTTTTTTTTATTTTTGTTATATTAATTTGTCTACTGTTGATGAATTCTCAAAATTTTTTCAAATTAATCTTTCCAAAATTTTTTCATATTTCCTTTTTTTTTTTTCAAAGTTTGATTTCCTTTTTTTGACTTTCACTTACTAAATAATAAAAATAAATAAATAAAATACTTTTGGGCTTTTAAATTTGGGCTTAAAATCCAATTTCACAATTAAACCCAATTTATCCAAAAACAATTTTAGAACCCAACGTTGAGATGAAATTTGAAACCCATTTAATATTGAAAAAAAATTTTCAAAAAATATAAAATGTTTACAATTGCTTTAATTGTTGATTGTGTATTTGAGTTTGTTAATTAATTATGGTTTTTTTTATCTAACTTTTACATTTTTGTTATTTTACAAGTTTTTTTAATCTATTTTTTTATTTTTATATTTCAAAATTATTAAAAATAAAATTTAACAAAAATGAAAAATCAAAATAATAAATAAAAGATAAAGAAAATATATAATTTAGTTTATGTGGGGCTTATAATCTAAGTTGAAATTAACCTAATTTATCAAATTAAGACCAATTAATAATTAAATATCCAAAAAAAATTTATCTAAATATAAAAAAAATTGTCATTGCTCAAATTAATAATTTATGTTTTTATATGTTATTTTAGGTTAAATCTTAAAATTGATAATTAATTAATATATAAAAATCAAATTTTAACACACATTAAGATAGAATGATTAATTCCACCATTTAACGAAAGTATAAGGACGAACTATATAATTTAAGAAAAGTTGATGTGCAAAAATAATATTTGTTAAAAAATTTTGTCATGTTATCATCTTTGATCACACAGAGTTTACATGTCTACAAAATCAATGGCCATGTAAGCAAAAATGCCACATCATCAATTTTAACAAAAAATTTGAACAATAATTTCACTAAACTTGACCATTAAAATGAAATATAAGGATCTAATTTGAGCATATTAAAATAAAGGAACTAATTCCACAATTTAATTAAAGTACATATATTTATTGTATAATTTGACCTAACTATTATAATAAGTAGAGTAAATAGCATATGTAGTCCTTAAATTTGGATCAAATTTTATTTTGGTCCTTAAATTTTAAAAAATTCTAATCGAGTTCTCAATTGCCCAAACTTGTACCAACGTAGTCCTTCTGTTTATTGGATTGTCTAAATTAATAGAAAATCTCATATGGCATTAAAAGTAACATTTAAAAATTTAAATACATGAAATTTTAAAGTTGACTTAAATATATGTAATTAAAAAAATATGAAATAAAAAAAAAAAACCCTAAATGAATACTTTGTCATAACTTGATTTTATTTTATTTTCCTAATCTCTTTTCTTTTCCTTCTTCTTGGTCATTTTTTCATCCAACAACCAAGAGATAGCCAACTACTTGGAATGATAGCATATGGCTTTCCTATTACCTTCATTGAAAGCTAGAGTTCAATAGCAGCTCTACCTTCACCTTATGAAATGCAAGAGATATTCGACATTGTTAAGCCTAATCCAACCCTTATTCAATCAAGATTCTGGCAACATCTCTCATTCATCTTCTTCTTTGTTACCTCTAAAATTAAGAAAAAGAAAGCAAGAGGAAGTTTAGAGAAAAGAAATTGATGAAATCATTTTCATTTATTTTAGATTTGGGTTATGATTTTAATGGCATTGGTTAACATTCAATATGGTAAAGGTAGGTTCTTCTTTTGTGGTGTCTTGTGTTGGAATTTTATGGGCTCTTCTTATTACCATAAAAATAGAATGGTTTGCACTTTTGCTATATATGATTATAGAAAATCTAGGCAATTTTTCTTTTTTTTTTTCTATTAAAAAAATGAATTGTGAAGAATTTGAGGTTATCTTGATTTATATTCTTTTTATTAGTAAATGTATACATGAGCAATGTTTTAATACAAATTTGTGATAATTTCTTTCATAAATTAACACATGTGTTGAGTTAGTTTACATGTATTCAACTAATTAGTGAGAAACAAATCTTTGTTGAATTAGTTTAATATTCTATTTTTAATTGTGTTATGTTTTGATTTAGTATATTTTATGCTTTTAATTTCATGATTTTTAATTACATAACTTTAAAATTCCATGTATTGAAAATTTTAAAGGTTACTTGTCATATCAAGTGAAATTTTTTATTAATTTAGATGATTTAACAAACAGAAAAATTATATTAGTACACATTTAGATGATTAAAGATTTAATTAAAATTTTTTAAAGTTTAAAAGCAAAAATAAAATTTGATTCAAAGTTTAAGTGTCAAAGATGGTATTTATTCTATGAGTATTAAATATGATGTTAGGTGTCACGTAAAAAACAAGATTTGCTATTCTACTAAAATTCGTCAACCAAAGTAACCGCGCAAAGTTATAAAAAAAAAAAAAAAAGGAAAGACCTCCCCCCATAGTCCCATTTTCCTCCAAAAAATTTCAAACTCTCCCGCGTTTTAATTTCCCCTAAAAGAAGACCCCCCCTCAACCATGGCGCCATCTCCCACTTTTCCTCTCTTAACCCAAATCTATCTTTAACCCAATCTGGAATTCCCTCGCCATTTCTTCTTCTTCTTCTTCATCTCTCTTGCTTTTCATTTCTAAAGAAAAAAATGGGAAAGCAAAGCAGATCTAAGAAACCGGAGAATCTAGGCAAAGGTAAAGTCACTCCGGTCCAAGTCGCATTCATCGTCGACCGTTACCTTTTCGATAACAACTACTCCGAAACTCGTTCCATTTTCAGAACCGAAGCTTCTTCTCTCATCTCCAAATCTCCCGTTCGAGAGGTAGATAGAAACCCAATTCCTTATATTTCACATCGTTATGTTTTCCTTTTTTTTTTATAAAATTATTGTTATTATTTTTTGGATAGGCGCCGAAGAGTTTGTTAAGTTTGGGGGCAATGTTAGACGAGTACGTTTGTTTGAAAGAGCAAAAGGTGATAGTAGAGCAGGAAAAGGCTCGTTTGGAGCAAGAAAAATGCAGGGTTCAGTCTCTTTTGCAGGGAATGCAAACTGTAATGAACGCTTACAACGCAAGTGCCATTGCACCCGTGCCTATGATCTCTCATGCTAATGCGACTAAGTCGGTAGGCCAGGTTCCTCAGCCAGATCCATGTTCTAGGTCTCCTCCGGGTACAAATCTTGAGCTCTGGGTGGTTATTTACTTGCTTTAGAATTAGTCATATTTTGTTAACTGTTACATTAAGCTTTTTAGGTGATATTTGAACATGTTAAACAAATGAAGATTGAAATGTTTATCCGATGTAAATGTACATAGATTTAACTCAAAATTATAGTTCAATTTTGATGTATGTAGAATGAGGATTATAGTAGTATATTTTGAATGGGTTGTAGCTTGGGTAAATGGATTGTTTGGGGGTTAATAGAAATTTGTTTTAAAAAATTGATGCCATTAGGCTTTAGAGTACTCTGGGAGATGTCTAATTTATTGTGTTTCTATTTTACAATTAGTTCATGATCATAATTTTAAACCCTGGTATATATTCAAAAGTTATTTTTATATGATTTTTTAATTCATGAGTAAGGTTGATATGCATACTTCTTGTGTCCTCTTTGCTAAGCAATTTTTATATTTTGCTTGGTAATCATGCTTTAGGCCCTCCTGTGTGTAGCACACCAACTGTTATTCCATTATCCGTTCCTTCTAATTACATAATGGAGCGTGATAATTACTCTTCGCCAGTTACAAGTCAGCCATTAACAAGAAATAAGAGGAGTTCGGAGATTGTCACTGAAGCCCCAACAGCTGCAAAGAAAACTCGTAGCAAATTGACTTCTAGGATGTTAACATCCCAAGGTAGAGTTTCTTCATTCTTATGCACATCATTTCATACCGTGACACATCATCCCTGACATATTGGTTGCAGGAACAAAAAAGTTTCCAGAATCTGACAATGGAATGAATAGCCAAGTAGCTGGTCAGCTAATTTCTGTAAATCAATCATCATCCCCCAATTGCACAGCCAATGAATCAACAATGCACGTATCAAGTGTTGCCAAGTGTTTGTTCAATCAGCCACAGCTGTCCCCTCCAACCAATTCATCAGGTCCTAAGACACCTCCACAAGCAGTTTCCCCTCAGAGTGATAAATCAAAGACTCCATTGGATGTTTCTTCAACTGCTAATTGCAGTCACAATAGTACTCCTCAAGAGATCACTCCTACCAACTGTACTATAATTTCAACTGAGAGGGTTACAGTTAGTCCTTTAAAACAAATGACATGTTACACCATTGAGAGGAACCATTGCATTTCTTCTTGTTCACCAGTTAAGGCATGCTTAAAGAGGCTTGGCAAGAGGGATCATGTAAAAAGCAGGCTGGACTTTGATGGTTCTGATGCAACAGTGAATGCGAACAAACCAATAACAAATGACACTTCAACATCTGAATCTGAAATGGATGTGGATCTCTTTGACCTAGATTTGCCTAATTTAGATGCTTTTGGAGCAAATTTCTCCTTTTCTGAACTGTTGGTGGATCTTGATCTTGGATGTGAAGGAATTGGCTACACCTGTCAACCAACATTGGGTACTGCAGATGCTCTTTCAGGGTATTGCTACTTCAATCTTATTGAATATTTTGACCAATAATTTCTCCACTTGTTTCTTTATTACATTTATTGTTCTCTGATGTTGATACATGCATGCTGCAAGGTCATCTCATGAATCAGGGGATGGCAATCTGGGGGCTAATCGAGTCATGTCAGAGTTTTCATCTACTGTCACAGAACTGCTTTCAGAGAAAGACATTAATGCACAAGGTGGTAAAGCTCATAGCTGTCTAATCTGATTGCATCCATACTGATATTTGTGTACTTACTTTGCATGTGCTATGGTTGCAGGATCCGACACCGTGACTTCAGTGAAGTCTATAACAAAATGCATAAAAATATTAAGCCCTGGTAAAACACTATATCCTTCCTGTCTTCTTCATTTTGAAATTTATTTTTTTGGCTTTGCTCATGTTTCCTTTTTCCTGAATTTTAAGCAAAAGGTCGAAGGAGTTCTTTGGAGCAACAAAATAGTTCTGCTACGAACTGAGTGGTTTTACCGTCAAGATGACTAGTTGGCTGACATGCACCGGTACAGCACTCGCTGCAAGCAATGCTTAACAACACTATTGTTATAGTCAACAATTTCGAAAATCTTTTTGCGTTTTAACGTGCCACTAAACTAATTTCTCTGTAAGGATCAAGTTATGCTTGAGATGACCTGCCATTGATTTGACATGCCCATGTGACTTTTGTTTAAAGTCTGGGCAACATTCTGTATCTTTTGATAAATCATGTAGATTGTGTAATCAGGGCTGCTGTTAGCAGTTTGATTGTGTAATCATGTAATTCTTTAATTGAATATCTTATTGCTTGCAAACCATCTTTATATGCTTGAAATATGCTCATAACAAGGAACAGAGTTGAAACCCATATTTTGGGGCTCAAGCCAGGTACTTCTGTAATTTCTTAACTTCACCTGGGCTTCCAATGAAAATTGGTGTACGCTGGTGTACCTGCCAATATAACATGCTAAAACCATTAAGGTTCACCGTTTGAGTTGTATTGTCTTTTGTTTGCTTGTTTAGAGCAAGGGCATATTCATGTTTAAATTGAAGCACTTGAAACATAAATTTGATATAGATCTTGGTTAAGCTATTACCTTCTCGGGTTTGATGTCAAGAGTTCTTTGGACACCATCTGTTGCAATGCCACCAGCTTGTTCTACTAAAGAGCTCATTGGTGCGCACTGATAGAGTAGCCTTGGATTTCCATTTTTGCTGTTCTTGTTCTTAGGGTTGCCATAGATACCTCCACGAAGTAGCATTGGATGGATTTCACCAACAAGGCAACCTATGTAGCGACCTGAATAGGGTTTGCCATTGGCTCCTGGTTGCCTAAGGTGGTCAAGATATTTCTTCAGTTTGTCATCCTAGATGTCATAATTTCCTTCATTAAAAGAGTAAAATTTACCCGACTCTGGTATTTTGATATTCTCAGTGTTAACACAAATTCACCGTAAGTGGGATTTAGGGTGAATGCAAACACCTCCTTGCCTATGGAGATGGTGAAGACTACAGAGCTTGAATATAGACAATAGCCAGCAACCAATAAATTGCACCCTGGCTGGCAACGTTGATGATGCACTTTTCTCTTTGCTTGATCAAGCTGTATGGAAAAAAGGGTTGAAACATTTAGGTAGATGATTAAAACGGTCGATTCTTTAAATAATATGAATGTATGATGCATCTCTTTTGCAGCTGCAGGTTAAAACTGGAGGTAATTTATGCATGGTAAGGGGACTGAGCTTTTTGAAAATAATTTATGTTCTTGGCTTAGATTAGACATTGCAGATGAAAGCATTACCGCAGAGGTGTCGTCGATATCAATAAGGCACTGCTCGTCAGGGCCATATATGCCAAAGATGGATCCTGTCAATATTGGCGGATCCATCAATAGGATCAAAGACAACAATGTAGTTTCCAGAATAAGTTTCCTCAACAGCTACAGGTACATCTTCTTCTTCTGATGCTGTAATCGCTGTTCGCCCACTTGATCTTAGGCAGTTGCAGAACAACTACACTTATATTATATACCTTGAATTAGTGCATAAAAAACAAATGCCGTGGTGTTTTGTCTCAAGTTACTAAACAATGAACTCATTCGAGACAAAGTAATGATAAAACTTGAAACTAACCTCATTGGATATAACGTCCAGCTTCTTCTGATCTTCACCTTGGATATTGATAGTACCCTGGCTACCGGTGAGATTGATAATGCTTGATCTTTGGAGCAGTTAAGCTTTCTGTTTGCAAGCCAGGGAAATGCTTGACAGAACAACCGTGAGCTCGGCATCAATATTGCCCGCTAGTTCTTGCTTCAAGAGCCAAGAGGTTAAATTCTCAATTGCAAACTGGCTCTTCCTGCCCTTCTTGCTTTGGACTTCTGTCTGTGTTGCTGGCAGGGGAAGTTCCACCGCTTTACATTGAACACCGGTGGAAATTCTGTGCTTGTGACGAGAAAGAGGAGAGATGGAGCAATGAGATTTTGAGAAGAGGAGGTTCCAAGACGATGTTGAAATTGCTTGAACCATTTTTTCTTTTCTTTTCCTTTTGTGCTTTAATTGGCAACTTCTTTGCTTATCTTCCGGTTCCTGACAAAATATGTGATCGTGATTAAGCCTTCAACCAATCCAAATCGAAGGTGCCAGCCAACATATAGCCCGGCAGGACCCACTTAAGTCCAAGTTTCTCATTTTTTCTTGTCTTTGGTTATCCTTGTTAGGTTTGAGTTAATAAATTTGTGTACTTAATTTTTTTTATTTACTCATAAATAATACTGTTGTGCTTTTAATTGTAACTAGGATGCTTCCGGCACTTCTTTGCGGGATTTTTTTTTATATATTTATGAATATTTATTTTTTATTTTAATATAAGTAAATCAAATAATAAAAATACATTTTATAAATAAATATATTTGTAATAATTTATTTTAATGATTATTTTTAATTTATTTATAATTATAACATATTTCAGAATTACATACTTAATAAAAAAATATATATTATTTTTATAATAAAAATATATAGTATTTTATAATAAAATTATATACTATAACTAAATATTTAACTAAATAATAAAAATATATTTTATAATTACAGGTTTAATCTAACGTATTATTATTTTTTTAAAAAAATTGAAGATCAAATTATATTAGAGGTCCTTACACTTTGTAAAAATTTGACATTTAGTCATTGTACTATAATTCGTATAAATTTAATCTCTGTATTATTTTGATTTGATAATTCTAATCCAATCATTAACTCTGCTAATTTTTTACTGTTAAAAATGTTGATGTGGTCATTAACTTGATGATGTGGCCGTTGATTTTATTGATGTGGTATTGACTTACTACATGTCAATTTGGATAAATAAAATCATTTGTTAAATTATATAAATAGTTCTTGTATTCACTTAAAATTTCAAATTTAATTCATGTACTTATACGATATTTAAAATTTATTCCCTATACTCATACGAAATTTAAAATTTAATTTTTTTAATATAAAATATTTTTAAAATTTTAAAATTTTTTAAAAATTTTAAAAAATATTTTAGTCCCTCTAATATAAAAAATATATTATTTTTATTATCATAATGTTTAGGTTGAAAACCTATCCATTAGATAAAAAAACTATGGAATCATTGCCAATATTTTTTTATCTAAGTGTAATTGACTACTTATATAAATATATTATTTTTAAGGTTACCCAAAGTGTAAACTAAGAGTTTCTAAAAAAAAATAGGTTTTGATGTACATCGACAGAGTTAAGATTCAGGAGTTGATTATATACAAAGAATGTATCCATTATGCTCAAAATTGGTATCACATTAATTATATGTTATCTTACCTAAATCGTAATTAAAAATGATTTTTATTATGTAGATTAATCAATTTCAATCTTTTTATTTATTTACACAACATGGTTATATAAAGAATCTATCAAAAATATCATGCCATCATGCAATCATGTAATAATTAAACAATCGTGCCAACATAAAATCATGCAAATATTAAATATCACGCAAATATATAATCATGTAAATAAATATAATCATACAAATAATAAATATCATGTAAAAAAATATCATGCAATAATCATGCCAGAAAAATCATGCAATTATATAAAATAAATCGCACAAATAAATATATTTATAATCATGTAAACATATTGATAAATCATACAAATAAATATATTCATAATCATGCAATAATAAATATAATCATGCAAATGATGTATATTATCATGCAGTAATAAATTAATTATGCAAATAATATATATAATCATGTAATAATAAATAATCATGCAAATCTATAAATTATAATTACTCATGCAACATAAAAAAATCTAGCGATAAAAATCATGCGATAAATAAATATTCATATTAAAGTTTTTTTCTTTTTCTTTTCCTCATGTCTTTAATTCAATTAATAATTAAAATTAATAAAAAATAGAATAAAAAAGAAAAAAAAAAACTTACGCTTGGGTCGGATCTTAGGTAGGTTTACGGGTGAATCTCTTCTGGTCTACATGTGGGTCAAATCTTTGCAAAAACAACATCGTTTAGGCTTGGGTATAAAAGCCCAAATCCAAATTTTTTCTTAGACTTCAACCTCTACTTCTCTTTCTAACTTGGGTTTACTTTGACTTCTTTCTAAACAGTTCAAACAGAAAATTTAATCGACCAGCCAAATTTCAGAATTCGACATTGACAATTCAAACGACATCAAAAAATTTAAGCAATTCTTAGAAACCACCAAAATTTTCAAAATCTGACCATTTTAATCCCTTCGGTCACCATGATCTTCATTGGAAAATTTAAACTTTCAACAAAGAATTTATCCTAATCCCAAAAATTCTCAAAATTCAACCAAAAAATTTAAAAAAAAAATTGAAACTCCAAAAGTTCAAACAAAAAACCCAAAAAAAGCAAAAAACAAATTCCCAAAAACACCAAGAGCTTTAGAAATCAAAAATCCAATTCCAAACTAACCTAGAGCCTAAACCAAATTTCCGATAGAATTGCAAAAAACCTAGACACAAACCCAAAACCCAGAAATTAAATCAAAGAACCCAATAACTTTAAAAATTTTTTCATATAAACCTAAACCCAGAAAAATTCTCAAAACCCAAAAACTAAACACCAAAAATTAAAGACAAAACCTTAAAAAATTTCAGATTGCTGATTGCTTAGGTTTAGTTTTTTTCTTATGTGCTTGCTTGCATTGCTTGTTTATTAGATCAAGACTCTTTTTAGAGGGATTTAATCCCTTTGGCTTTGGAAATTTTGAAATCCACTAAATCTAGGAAAAATTTCCTAAGATTTGATTTTGTGTAGTATTTTTTTTATTGAATTAGGGATCAAGTTTTTCAAAAATATTTCAATTATTAAGTTCAAACTGAATCCAAGGCTTTTAAAAATCTCACATTTTTTTCTTTCATGATTTTTTTAATTTTTTGTTTAATTTTTTTTAACTTTGACCTAAAAATAAAATTAAACCAAAAATAAAACAAAAATCAAAATCAAAATCAAAATTAAAATTAATATTAAAATTAAAATTAACCAAATCCAAAATTAAATTAAAACCCCAATTTGGGCTTTTAATCCTTAGGTTCCAAAAATGTTTGAATTAGGGTCCAATTGTAATCAAAGCCCATTTTAATCTTAAAAAATTTATCGGATAAAATGAGGTGTTTATAGTTACTCCTCTTTGTGCATTTTCTGTAAAACATGAATTGTACAAAGATAAAAAAGATATCTATTTTGTTCGGGTCTAGAA